AGTGGGGGAGGGGGAATGGCTCAGGGGATGGGAGGAGCAGATGGATTTAGACCCAATAAAGAGGTTACTTAAGAGCCAAGGTGAGGGGGCCTCCCCATCATCCCTTTCCTCCCCCTCCTTCCTTCCAGGGTCCTTCCTTCCAGAGTAGATTCTAAACACGCCTGGGGTGGCATTGCCTGTGATGGGAAGGGTGTGCAGGCTCATCAGAGCAGATGTTGGGGGCACCACATCCCTCCCAGGCCCTAGGCCACTGCCCCAGCCCCAGACTGGGCAGGCGCGGACCTCTGGTCAGCAGCATAGCCGCTGTGCCTCCTGGCTGACCCGGCTTTCCCCCCATCCCACACTCGGGGGGCTCAGGACCCCAGGGAGGCAAGTGGGCCTGTGGGGCCTAGGGAGGGAGGGAGGGAGAGCAGCAGGGATGCCCTCTCTTCTGCCCCAGACCACCCCTCAGCTTCAGGGGCCCACCCAGAAGTCACCCTGCCTGGGGGCTGCTTCTGAAGAGGCTTGGAGAAGAGCAGTCATTTGTCTCCCACCCTCCCAGGAATGTGTCCCCACACTGACCGAGGCAGGAATTGGCCGGCAGGAGGCTGGGGTGTGGGCCCCAGGGGAGCCGCTGGGGCTGGGAGAAGCTCCACCACTCCTGGCCCTGTGGTCTTGGCAAATCCCTGCATCTCTCTGAGCCTCAGTGTTCCTCATCTGCAGAATGGGTCTCCAAGTCGTCGTCCGCCCCCCCCCCCCCCCCCCCCCCGCCCATTCTAAATTGGATTGATGGAGTGCTGCATTTAATGGGAATTTGACATACGGACATTTGAAAGAGGAGGATAGAAAAGTCTGCAACATTTGAGAGGCTGTGAACTCCACTTTTTAAAAAAATTGTCAAGATGGCTCAGCGTTGGGCTGCGGTTCGGGCGAACTGTTCATGCGGTGGCCGCATGGTGGCGCCCTGGGAGCTGATGAATAGGCGCCCAGGGCGGCAGGCAGGCCAGAGGCGCAAGGGCCCTGACTGCAATTTCAAGTAGAATCTTTTGTGAGTTTGTTAAGTGGAGGTTCTTGTTGGTCTCCGCCCCTCCCTGGCTCTGTCCTGCACCTGTCGCTGCCAAACCAGTTGTCTTAGAACAGCAGGTGAAGGTGATAAAATGCTCTGAAGAAAGCAGAGCAACTGCTGGATACTTAATCACATTAGTTTACGAGGCAGGAGGCTTTGGAATATTGGCGATGATGCTAAGATAGAAAAATGTCTTTACATCATAGATATACAAAGGATCATACTAGAATATTATGAGACTATATGCCACTAAATTCAATAACCTAGAAGAAATGGATTGGCTCCTAAAAATATCTAACCTTCCTAGACTAAAACATGAAGAATTGGAAAATCTAAATAGACTGATCAGCAGTGAGGAAATTGAAACAACCATCAAAAACAAAAAATAAAAATCCAGGACCAGATGGCTTCACTAGTGAAATCTACCAAATTTCAAAGAAGATTTAAAGCCTATTCTTCTCAAACTCTTACAGAAAATTGAAGAAGAGACACTACTTCCTAACAAATTCTATGAAGCCAGTATATCCCTGATACAAAACCTGGCAAAGATAACACAAAAGAAGAAAACTATAGACCAGTATCTCTGATGAATACAAATGCAAAAATCCTAAACAACATACTAGCAAATCAAATACAACAGTACATCCAAAAAATAATACATCACGATCGAGTGGGGTTTATTCCAGGGGCACAAGGATGGTTCAACATACGAAAATCAATCAATGTAATAGGCCACATTAACAAAAGAAAGGATAAAAATCATGTGATCTTATCAACAGATACAGAAAAAGCATTTGATAAGATACAACATCCATTTATGATTAAAACACTCGATAAAATAGTAATAGGAGGAAAGTACCTCAACATAATAAAGGCCATATATGATAAACTCTCAGCTAATATACTCAGTGATGAAAAACAACATTTTTCCTCTAAGATCAGAAATAAAACAAGGATGTCCACTCATCACTCTAATTCAACATAGTGCTGGAAGTCCTACACAGAGGAATAAGGCAAGAGAAAGAAATAAAAGGCATCCACATAGGGAAGTAAGATGTCAAACTGTCACTTTTTGAAGGTGACATAATTTTGTATATAGAAAGCCCTAAAGACTCCACTAGAAAACTATTAGAAATAATAAACAAATATAGTCAAGTTGCAGGATACAAAATCAGTTTGCAAAAATCTATTGCCTTCCTGAATACTAACAACAAAATTTCAGGGGGAAAAAAAAGAAAAAAATTTCCTTTTGAAATTGTAACCAAAAGAATAAAATACCTAGGAATAAATTTAACAAAGAATGTGAAAGACCTATATACTGAAAATTACAAAGCATTATTAAAAGAAATTGAAAAAGACACAACAAAATGGAAAAATATCTTGTGTTCATGGATTGGAAGAATCAACATAGTTAAAATAGCCGTATTACGCAAAGCAATATACAGATTTAAAGCAATCCCCATCAAAATCCCAATGTCATTTTTAAAAGAAATAGAATGAGAAATCATCAGATTTGTATGGAACCACAAAAGATCCGGAATAGCCAAAGTAATCCTGAGAAAAAAGAACAAAACTAGAGGTATCAAGCTACCTGACTTCAAATTATACTACAGAGCCACGATAATCAAAACAGCATGGTATTGGCAGAGAAACAGACACACAGATCAGTGGAACAGAATAGAGAGCTCAGCTTTAAAACCAAATGTACTAGTACATGGACAGATAATTTTCATATATATATTATTGATTTCAGAGAGGAAGGGAGAGGGAGAGAGAGAGATAGAAACATCAATGATGAGAGAGAATAATTGATCGGCTGCATCCTACATGCCCCACACTGAGGATCGAGCCCACAACTCAGGCATGTGCCCTGACCGGGAATTGAACCATGACCTCCTGGTTCATAGGTCGACACTCAACCACTGAGTCACTCCAGCTGGGCTGGACAGATAATTTTCGACAAAGGAGCTAGACACACACAATGGAGTAAAGATAGTCTCTTCAATAAGTGGAGCTGGGAAAACAGGAAAGCCACATACAAAGAAATAAAACTGGATTGCAATTTGTCCCCATGTACAAAAATTAATTCGAAATGGACCAAAGACCTAAATAGAAGACCCAAGCAATAAGTGACATAGAAGAAAATATAGATACCAAACTTATGGACCTTGGTCGTAGAGAACATTTTATGAACTTGACCCCAGAGGCAAAGGAAGTAAAGGCAAAAATAAATGAATGGGACTAAAACTAAAAAGCTTCTGCACAGCAGAAGAAACTGACAACAAAACAAAGAGGCAGCCAACCAGACGGGAGATGATAATTGCAAACAGTAGCTCCAACAAAGGTTTAATTTCCAAAATATATAAAGAACTCATAACACTCAACACCAAACAAGCAACCAAGCCAATCACAAAGGGGCAGAGGACCTGAAAACACTCCTCTCCCAGTAAGACAGATGAAAAGCCAACAGATATATTGAAAAGATGTTCAGCCTCACTGGCAATCAGGGAAATGCAAATCAAAACTACAGTGAGATACCACCTCACACCTGTTAGAGTGGCCATTATCAACAAGACAAGCCATAACAAGTGTCGGGGAAGTTGTGGGAAAAAAGGGAACCCTATCCACTGCTGGTGGGCAGGTAGACTGGTATAATCGCTATGGAAAGCAGGCTGGCGATGCCTCAAACAATTAAGAATAGAGCTACCATATGACCCAGCGATCCCTCTCCTGGGGATATACCCCCAAACCTCAAAAACATGTCTTCACGAACATATATGCACCCCTATATTCATTGAAGCATTATTTACGGTGGCCAAGACATGGGAACCACCAAAGTGGTCTGCAATAGAGGACTGGATACAGAAGCTGTGATACATGCACACAATGGAATACTACTCAGCCATGAGAAAGGATGAAACAGCGCCATTTGCAACAACAGGGATGGACCTTGAGAACATTATGCTAAGTGAAAGAAGTCAGACAGAAAAAGCTAAGAACCATGTGACTTCACTCATATGTGGGATATAAAACTGAAACTCGTGAACACAAACAGCAGTGTGGTGGTTGCCAGAGGGAAGGGGTGGGGGGAGAAGGGGGTCCTAATAGATGGTGATGGGAGATGTGACTTTGGGTGGTGGGCACACGGTGCAATATACAGACCTTATAACATAGAAACCCACACCTGAAACCTGTATGTTCATGTTGACCAATGGCACCCCAGTCAATTTAATATAAAAAAATAAAGGGAAATAAGGCTCTAAATAAATGCTTAAATAAATGAATGAATGAATAAGTAAGTAAGTAAATAAATAAATAAATCAGACTGCTGATAGCTCTGCTACCCTCTTGCACCCTACAATTAGTTATGGGAATAAAAAGCCAAGCCTTGACCCCCTCCCCCCAATGTCTAAGCTAACCGGCACAATGGTTCCGGCTTTATGATCTCCAAGAACTTTCACTGCCAGCAACACAGCTTCTACTCCAGGGCAATAGGCTGGGACTTTGTGAACTTGAATTGTGTGCCGTCTTCAGAAGCAAGAATGGCTGCAGGTTGATGGACATCCCTGATGCCCCTTGGGTGCCCTTGGCTGGGCGCAGGCCCTTCCCTCAGCTTGCCGCTCTCTAGGGGACCGGTCTGACCGGGGATCATCACACCTCCCCGGGCCCCGCACCAATGGGCGTGGGGTGAGTGTGGGAGGGGGACTCTCCACGAGGAGGTGCTATCAGGCAAGGCTGTGGGAGGTGTGGGTAGGTCCTGCGCAGACAGACATTTTCCTGGTGGAATCCGAGGGCCCCAGGTCTCCCTGCAGCAGCCCCCAACTCCACAGCTCGGGCTGCTCAGCCGGGCGCCTTGTCCCACATGGTCCTTCCTAAGCCCCTGCCCTCTGACTCCCTGCGGAGGCCTGCCCAGTGCTCCTGGGCCCACCAGCCTGACAGGCGCCCACTCTTGCAGGTGGTGAGAAGCTACAAGGCGACCATCCAGCAGACCTTGGACATCCTCTTCCTCCAGGAAGGCTCTGAGTTTCTGAGCAGCACAGATGCTTCGAGCCGGGACTCTGCCGATCGTACCATCATCGCCTGGGATTTCCGGAGCTCCGCCAAAATCTCCAACCAGATCTTCCATGTGAGAAACCCTATTGGCATTGCTTTCTGCTTCAGCCCCGTGTAGCCCTCGGTTGTCTGGGGTCCCAGATCACTTCCTGTGGGAGACGGTTCAGTAGGCAGGATCTTTGCAGACAGATTGGCTGCCTGAAATTTCTCGGGCAGGGGAAGGCGAGCGTAAGTCCACTGGCTCCATATGACAGTATCTCTCTGTCCTCCCACTCCCCACCCTGTACAGCCACCCCACAGGGTGAGGGTGTGGAGGGGCAGCCAGGACAGATGGACTGGTAGACGGCCGAGCAGCTCGAGCCACCCCTACCCTTTCTTGGCCACCCCAGCCAGCCATGGAACTCCGCCCTCCTTTGCTGAGTGACTTTGGCAGGAGTTGTGACCCAGGAGTTCAAGCAGAGAAACTCGAGTTAGACCACCTGAATGATGGTCCTGCATCCACCACCGACAAACGGGGGCCTGGGCCCATTACTTAGCCGTTTGGATTCTCATTGTCCTCTTAGCAAATTGAGGATGAGAATATTACTTGCCTCATAGAGTGGTTTTGAGAATTTAAAGAACATTTATTAAGGGTCTAGAATGGTGCCAGGTACAGGGATTGCTTCATAAATGCATTACCTATATTATCACCATCATCACCACTGTCGTCATCACCACCACCGCCATCATCACCACCACCGCCATCATCATCACTATCACCACCACCACTATCATTACTAATCACCATTATCACTGTGATCACCAGCACCATCATCATAACTATCACCATTATCACCATCATCACCACCATCCCTATCGTTATCGTCACCATCATCACTACTATCACTATCATCATCATAACTATCACCATTGTTACCATCGTCACCATCACTATCATTATCATCACCACTACCACCACCACCACCACATCATCATCATCATTTTAACTAGCAGTATCATCACCACCACTATATTATCACCATCACTACCACCATCATCATCACCATTATCATTATCACTGTCATCACCATCATCACCACCACCATCATTTAAGATTTCAAATAAGCCATGGCTAATCGCTTTGGTGCGCCCACCCTGAATTTAAAAATGTGTCAGGTGTACGCGCACACCTTTTCCCTCTCCTTGCTTTTCCCTTGTCTTCAGATGGTTCTGAGCGACCCTGAGCAGACCTCCCTCTAGACCTCACTTTAGGGTCCAGTGTAACCTCCTAGGAAGAGCAGGCCATGGGAGGGGCATGGGGGGCACGTCTGACCCCCGGGGCTTCCTGCCTCCGTCAGCCCCAGCGGAAGCGAGTGAGGTGGGTGGAGCGCTGCTGGCCTGAGCCGTCCCAGACTCACACCTCCTGGCCGGCAGCATCACGCGGGGAGCTCCTCATGGGGCCGCCACGGCATCATGCCTCTATGCGCACACTAGTCTGCAGCTGGCTATTATTAGTCCGACCGCTCCTGCTTTGCCCTCTGAATTTGGGCAACTCTTAGAACGGGAAAGGACAGGCGATGCTGAGAAGGGAGTTCCCGGGCGTGCTTGTGTGTGACTGAGCCCATCAAACAGTAGATTTCCCTGCCGGGTTTTGAACACTGTTCTCATTTATCTTCTCACTTGATCATTTACCTCTTCAAGGGCTGCATGTGGACTGTGTGGGACCCTGCGCCGGGCTGCCCCTGAGGGCCCCTGTGGAATGGGGGGATGGCCACGCACATTCGTTCTCTGTTCCCGGGCAACATGTTACCACAGATGGGAGGCTTCCGCCATCAGCAGTGTGTCCCCACACATTTCTGAGGATAGCCGTTGGCCTCCGTATCCCTGGGCTGAATCAGGTGTTGGCAGGGCCCGCTCCCTCTGAGGTGCGGGGCAGATCTGTCCCTTGCCGCCTCGCGTCTGGTGGCTGCTGGTGACACTGGGCACCCCCCCGAGTTCTACACCAGCATCTGCAGGTCACTCTCTGATCCAGGTTCACATCACCTGTGTGCGTCTCATCTCCCCCTGCCTCCCTTAGAAGGATACACGTGGCTGAATTTAGGCAAGAATACAGGGTAACTCCCCACATCAAGATCCTTAACTTAGTTACTTCTGCAAAGACATGCAAGGTGTCATTCAGGGGCCCTAGGAATTAGGACGTGGATACATTTTGGGGGGCCCTTTAAGATCCACCACAAGGGCCGTGGGCCAAGGAAGGCAAGTGGAGCCCCCGGAGCGAGCACAGCCCTGCTGACACCATGATTAGCCCGGCGAGACCCTGCTCAGACTTCTGACCTCCAGATCTGTACGAGCCTAAGTTTGTGTGTTTCCAGCCACTAAGTTGGCGGCAGTTGGTTACAGCAGCAGCAGGAAACTCATACCGACCCGAAGCCAAGGTCCGGCAGGAGGGCACGTGGCCTGTGAGCAGAGAGCAGGGCGGCGGGCCTGTCTGCAGAGGCAGCAGGCACAGCCCAGCATCCTTCTCCCTCTCTGGCCCGCTGTTTCTCAGGAGCGGTACACCTGCCCCAGCCTGGCCTTGCACCCGCGGGAGCCCGTGTTCCTGGCCCAGACCAATGGCAACTACCTGGCCCTCTTCTCTGCCGTGTGGCCCTACCGGATGAGCAGAAGGCGGCGCTACGAAGGGCACAAGGTACCGCTTACCTGCCCCCCCCCCCCCCAGCACTGGCCCCAGAGCCTCCTGCCACACCATGCCAGCAACGGACTTGGGGTCAGAGGGCATAGACCTCTGTCCAGCAGATTCTGTTTTCTGTGTGGCCTGGTGTCCACTCAAGGCCTGGGCCGTATCTGGCTCTGCCCCGGGCCCCAGCTGCAGCGGGAAAGGTTTCCTCTGATTCCGCTCATGTGAACCTGTCTCAGAGGTTAGGGAGGGGGCAGGACAGAGTCTCTAGCTCCGCCCCCTTTCCTCATTGAGACCTGCCTCCTGTGGGGGAGGGCCGAGGGCATAGACCTCTGTCCAGCAGATTCTGTTTTCTGCTTCCCAGGTGACCACATGCTGTGTGGCCTGGTGTCCACTCAAGGCCTAGGCCGTATCTGGCTCTGCCCCGGGCCCCAGCTGCAGGGGGAAAGGTTTCCTCTGATTCCGCTCATGTGGACCTGTCTCAGAGGTTAGGGAGGGGGCAGGACTGAGTCTCTAGCTCCGCCCCCTTTCTTCACTGAGACCTGCCTCCTGTGGGGGAGGGCTCTGGGCTGGGAGCTGTGCCTCCTGGGTACCACTGAGGTACACGGTCACACAGGACCCGCCTGGGGGAGCTCGGGTTCTGCTCCTGGCCTGCTGCTCTGTGGTGGGCGCAGGCGTGATGTGGGCTCTTTCGCGGGTACCACTGAGGTACACGGTCACACAGGACCCGCCTTGGGGGAGCTCGGGCTCTGCTCCTGGCCTGCTGCTCTGTGGTGGGTGCAATGACTGCCACCGCGCAGGCGTGATGTGGGCTCTTTCGTGTCGCCCTTGCAGGTGGAAGGCTACGCGGTGGGCTGCGAGTGCTCCCCGGACGGAGACCTGCTGGTGACAGGCAGCGCGGACGGCCGGGTCCTGCTCTACTGCTTCCGCACGGCCAGCCGGGCGCGCACGCTGCACGGGCACACGCAGGCCTGTGTGGGCACCACCTTCCACCCCGTGCTGCCTTCCGTCCTCGCCACCTGCTCCTGGGAGGGTGACATCAAGATCTGGCACTGAGCCTTCCAGCGCAGCGCCCCTGGACAGACATTGCCGCCCCGGCTCCCTGGGGTGGGGGGGACTAAATGCCGAGGCTGGCGCTCCACCCCAGGGTCCTCCGTTTCCTCTGAAACCGGGCCAGCAGCCTTTTGTCTCAGTGGTGAGGCTGGGAAGTGAGCGCCTGGCACCCTGCTCGTGGCGCTCAGTAAATACGCGCGTTTCGCTGTTTTGTAGGTGACTTCAGCGATAAATGTGTGTTGGCAGTTCCTCTCGCCGCCCCACTCGCACCCACTGGAGCTCGAAATGAGAAGCTGGGATCTGGAGAGGGGGCAGCCCCGCTCTGTGGGTCCTGAAAAGGGGGCCCAGGATCTCAGGTCTGTCCTCGGGAACTCGGCAGAGCATGGCCGTCCACCCGTCCCACAGGGCCTCACCTGGCCCAGTCTACCCAGGCCCAGGC